ATATATATATATGCAAAGTTTGAGCAAGAATAGAAAATTTAGAAAATATGGATGCAGAGCGAGATAGAATAAGTTAAATTTCTTGCAAGGAATATTTGAACAAATTTGAGTGAAGCATAGAACGCATTACATTAATAATTTATTTGTACAATTTAATAAAAAATATTAAATAAAAATATTAAATAATATATCCAAAATTATAATTAATTATAAGTAATAATTACAAGAAAATATGCTTTGTATATACAAAATTTCAACAAAAAATATAGAAACTATACAAAAATCGGATGTAAGGTTAGATAGAATTAGTCGAATTATTTAAACACAAGATGTTTGCACATGCGTATAGATTGTATAATATATATTTGAATTAATAACATTTTTCAAACATAAAAATTCAATAAATAATATTAAAAGCCGTGATAGATTATACAACAATTAAAACAAAATTATACTCTATATACATAAAACTTCAGCAAGAAATATAAGAATTTCATCAATACGGGATACGGGATAAGATAGAATTAATTTCAAGTTTATTCTTTGAACATAGAATATATGGAGTGTAATGTACATTTAGATTAATAATCTCGCTTATCTTGCAAGAAATATGTATATTTTCAAATTTGTTTATTGCAGCTTCAGCTATCCCAAATCAAAAGCCGCGCAGCTTTACATAACTATAATTATACAGACAAGCCGTCATAATAGGTATATGGCGCCATCTACTAACGGTCAGCAAAATCGAACCTGATGTAATTCAGCGTTGACCGATAATAAACAATAATGCATTATATTAATAATATTAATTAATGCTTCATTGAATTAAACTATCTGATCACGCAGATCTTCATTGCGCTGCTGAGAATCAAAACCTCATCGAGATACAATCTCGCGTTTCTATTTTTCGTCTTTCGTTGTCAAGTTGTCCATGAATAGACTTATTTTTTTTCATTTCATGAATGAAAATGTAGAAATATTAGCGCGGTATTTTACCAATGGATGGAGCAAAGGTTCCAGAAATTTGATGCTTGGCGCGCGCTTTCGTCAGTGCTGAAAATCACGCGTAACGCTTCGCGCGATTGTAAAGGAAGAGAGAAAGAGGGCGATACGGAGAGAAGGAGAGAGCGAGAAGGAGCGCTCCTCTTGAAGTTGCCTTGCGGCAGTCGCGACGGCGGCGCCGCGTCGCGTCGCGTCGCGTCGCACCGCGTCGCGGCGGCCACCGTCCGCCGTACTATACATGCAGTTGTCTGTACGTCGAAACAATCTCGCCGCACCGCTTCCCCGTCCGGGCCGGTACGTCACCCGTTTCGTATTTTCTACGGAGTTACGCGCGGCAAATACTCGCCGCGCCGCTTCCCACCGGCCCCGGACCTGATCCGACGTCGATCCCCCAACGTTCGGTAAGCCGCCGGTTCCTACTCTACTTTCCGTCCGCGCGAATCGCCATTTGTACATGGCGTGTGTTGACACACGCGCCGCGAGCGAGCGAGCGTGTGCGCCCGCCACGCGCGCGCGCGCGCGCGCGCGCGCACACGCCGTCCGATTTTCGCGAGCGAACGTACATTATCAAGTCGACAACGCACGCGCGTGGCGATTCCGTCCGAACGGACGCCGGCAGCGAGAAAAAAATCACGGCGATCTCCGCCGATGCGGCACGTCGCTGCGGCCGGGAGATCCACAAGTGGTTGCGTCGCGACGTGCGCGCGCACACACAGGCGTGGGTGCGTGCGTGAATGCGCGAAGGAATGCATCCTTGTGTGTGTGTACGCGTGTGTGCATGTATGCGGTGGCGGCGACGACGAACGTCACGCCGCGACGCAGGCCGCGCCGCGACGCGACGTTCCCGAGAGGATCGGTCGCCAGTTCAGTGTACAGGGCCGCATCCAAAACGTTTCTGCAAAGCGGAATGAAAAGTCTTTGGCGTAAAGAAAAGAAAGTTTTTCGGTAAACAGCTAACAGCGATGTTATGATTTCCCATTCGACAATATAAGCAATAATTAATATAGCACGTAATAGGCTCTTACATTGTTTGGTAGAAAATTATAATTTAGTAGATAATTATATTGATTAATATTATAATATGGATGTAATGTTGCTGTTAGTTGATATTTACCGGGGTCTCATGTCGGTTTTGTTTGTTTTTACTTCGAAAAAGACGCGACAATTTCTTTTTGTAAAGTATTCTGTGCAAAAAATCAAATTGCTTGCTCTGATAATTTAGAAAGAAACGATCGATCAATACAATCGTTTTTCTTTTATTAGTCCTTAGTGTTCAATTATTATCAACTTTGTTTGAAATTCAATAATTGGGACTAATTAAATGGATCGAATAGATTAAAAAGATATGCTAAGTTATTCTCCTAGCGTGGAACATTATCTTCTTTCGTGACTTATACAGTTTAATCTTTTATGTAGAGAAAGAGAGAGAAGAACACTATGTATCTTTTACTCGACGATAGTTTGGGAAATCATAAATTTCAGATTACTGACACAACCACGAAGCATAAGAATAAATAGAATTAATCTTTTTATTTTTAAACACATCGAAATCAAAGTTATATTTATTTTCGAAACACATTTTTCTTTTAAATTCGGAGAAAGAAGCAAAGAGAGCTCGAAAGTGTATTTCGCGAGGCTGTGAAATATAATATTTTTTCTCTTGCAGCGAATTTACTCTTCCACTTTTTACAAAGCTGTAATGTAACATGTGACATTTGTAAATAAATCGTGTGCATCCGATGATTGATAAGGCGTTGTTGATTCAAAACATCCTCCGAATTTCCCTGCATTTTTATTTACGAAGATCTTTTTCCATTGTTGCAGACGCCTCTTCGCACATTTCCGCACACCTCCCACTTCTTTTTCATTCATCGTTTTGGTAAGCCCGATATTTTATTTATTTTCTCCGCCAGTCTTACCCGTATATTTCTTTTTTTTTCTTTTTATTTATCTATTTGTCAGCGTCAGCGTTATATTTTTCACGGCTATCTCCCAGTTTTACACACATCTGTTTTGTACATTGAAGGTGACATCATTTTCTTGTTTACGTGTTTGTATCGATGAGAGAAAATAGCGGACAAGTTGCAAAAAATAGCTTGATCGTCTGCGTTACCGCGCAACGTCGAAATCAGAAATGTAGCTCGCGTTTCAGCTGAAAGATGTCGCCATCAGTTCCGCGCCGGCACGTGCGTTTAAGCTATCGGCTTCCGGAATCAAAGGCACATTTGAAGGATAGTAGGAACATCCTATAATTAATTCGCTTTACATAGACGATATAATTATTATTAATAATTCTAACTAATTTCGGCATTTATTATTTACGCGTCGTAAATTCGAACGATATCATCATCGTGGCCGAGTCAGCTGAATCAATAAGAATAATCGCGTAATTTTGCGGGATTGGTAGAATAAATTTTAAGAAACTTATTATAGTCGTAAAGATAGTCGTGTTTTCGCATTGGTCGAGTGATAATATTAAATTTGCAAAAAGCGAGTTACGATGGGCAAGCGTATCCGTGCCGGTGATATCGAGAGAGAGAGAGAGAGACAGATGACACTTTCAAACGTACGGCAAATCAAATTTATACGCAAAACACGATTCATTGTTAAAAATGCGCCGTCCGTTTCCGGCGTTGCTATAGAAAATATCGCGATATTAAAATCCAAACAAAAATATCGACGTTCGCCGACCGTACGGGAACACCGAGTTCATTCGTACGTCGCGAATAAAGGGTGCATTCTGCCCGGCCCTTCCGTCGACGTAGGAGAAGGACGGCGGACGAAAAATAAAACTCCGCGACACGATCGCGAAAAATTAAATCGCGTTATTTACACGGTGTCCGCGTTATTTCATCGCGGACGAGCGCGGACGAGTATCGAGACCTCGGCAAACATTTTTGGCGCCCTTTCAGGTGAATTAGCGGAAACGGCCGCGACTTTTTTCGCGCGCGTTCCCGTCGTCGGGAATATTTCACAAAAATTTTTCCACAGCGCGGAAGACAGTCCAGAACCGACCATCGAACATTTCACAAGCGGGATACAACGATAGCGAGGGGGTGACAGCGGGCACGGGGGGAGGACACAAGAGGGGGGAAGGGATTGAGAGAACATACGGGGGTTGGGCACGTGTCAGGCGAGTGTTTTACTAGCCTTAATTTCGTGTGCTTTCGTAGCCAATATGTCGGGGCAGTAAATTCCAAACTTTCCGCCCGGCTTCGCGCGTTTCGGCATTGCGCGTTTTTGCGATCGCGGTTTTAACGACCCCCACCCCCCCCCTCTACCCCTATCGCCTGTACCGCCCCGTCCCGTACCGCCACTCCCTTTCGAGTTATACGGAGGTCCGAGGAAAAGCTGCCGGATATTAATTTTGTAAATAACGAACTTCCGGCGTCGACGAGAAACTTTACACACCCCTTCCGTCGCGTTTCGTCCCTCTCGTCGTTGGTCCCTCTTGCAGGGGAGAGGACGGACAGAAGAGTAGAGAAGGAGGAGGAGGAGGAGGAAGAGGACGAGGAGGAGGGACTTTGCCGTATCGTTACAACTACGGGAGCGCGTATCTCACCGGCGAGCCGCGGAAATTTTTCCAGGCGAGGCGGCACTTGCAAAACAATTACGAATCGTC